TAAAGAAATTCCAGGAAATGTAAAAAGAGTGGAGATGAAAATATTGCCTTAAGCATCTCCATACTACAGATAGCACAATGTGTTCTGACTAGGAAAATCTGTCAGTACAAAGAGGAGTGCAAAGATGATAGCATGGATTGATATAAAATTACTGAATCAGATTCATTTAAATCAACAGGCAGAAAGCTTTAATGAATTTAAATTTTACTTTTCTTTGAACTTTTTAAAAGCAGGACCATTTAAAGCAGGCTGAGGGGCCTCTCCACTGAATTTTTAATATCTCCAAGTGTAGAGATTGTGCCGTTTCTTGGGGCAACCTGTTCCATGGCTTAACCATCCTCATGGTTTGAAAAAAATCCAACAACATAAAATGAGCAAAACCCAGCCTAATTCCTTTTTACCAATCAGATTTTCCTGTGTTCCTTCTTGCCTCTTGTCCCGCTGCTATGCATCTTCAAGAACAGTCTGGCTCACTCTCCCTTATCCTCTCATTAGACAGTTGTGGACAGTAATAAGATTTCTCCTATTTTTCTCTTTTATGGCTGATCAAATGCAGTTTTCTTAGCCTCTCCTTGTAAAATCGGGCACTTCAGCCCTCTGGTCATTTTGGTCCCTTCCACTGGACTTGTTCCTCCATTCTCAACTACCAGGACAGTTACTAAAAGCTTATGTATTGTTTAAAGTGGTACCAACTTGTGGGAGCAACGGGAGTGTGACACTGAACTTTGTGAAATGAATATACTGTGAAGAACTGACTACATGTTAGGTCATCTAGCAGCCTTTGGGAAGGTTCAACTCCCATGTCTGGTGTGGAGGCACTCCAGGGCAGCTTCTCTGACCAGTCTCTTCTAGATAGTCCATGAGGAGGAGTTAATGTTTGATATAAAATTTACTGATTTGAAGATACATGGCGCTACATAGTGCTATGTTTTGATTTAGCGGAGAGCTACAGCAATATATTGAAATTACAACACTAGTAAAATACAGCAATTGTAATATACTTTTGAATCATCATGCAAAGATGGCTTTTCAAAGCCATTGATCTGTTCAGAACTCCTGTTTGTTGTTCAGCTTTTATGCTTCATGTTGGTGCTTATATATACATATATACCTCTCCCTCTGCCTGTCTGGCTAGCTGGGGAAGACATTACACTCTACTAATTATCTCAGAGAAGGCTGTTTACACAACCTGATGACTCACTGGTACAGTCATATGTCTGAATCAAAGATTACCAGTCCCCCTTGTGTTGAGGTAAGTTCAGCTTTCTTCATGCCTCTTGCTTATTCCTTGCATTTCTTCCCCAAGTTCATCACTCTTGCCCTTCCCCTCTGAGACTTCTATTGTAGGGCTTTGGTCAGTCATGCATGCTGTATCTCCATGAGACTCTTGTAAACATGTTCCTTGTGAACTGATGGATCACGTATAACCGGTGAGGTGCCTGCCTGTACCGTCCGCTCCTTGCCTCAGAGCTCAATGTGCATATATCTTGGTCACATAAGGTAGATATGTCCAGCTGCATGAGGGTGAACAGAGTCATGATGCCATCTTGAAAAAAAGGGAGAAAAGCTACAAACAACATCAGTACCCTCAGCCCTTGACATATTCCTGGCATGTATCTGAAGGGCCAGAAGAGAGGACAGCAGCCTCAAGTACAGGCTGATGATCTAGCTGAGTTATTTTAAAAGGTTTGAATTTACTCCAGTGAAAACAGGAACCCAAGTTTAAGGCTTTAAGTGGTTGGGAGTAGAAGTGTCACTGCAGGAAGGAGAGCCAGGAGCCGATAACCAGGGAATGGCCTTCAAAGACTTTAAGGGTTAAATGATCTACTCTAGGAAATGTAACACTGGTTCCGGATCATCACCAAGACTTTGACACAAAAAAGAGAATACGTAATTTCTTACTTGCCATCTGTAATAATAATAATCTGTTCAGTTTCTTTGATTATAAAAACAACTGCTGTGATGAAGATACGCTTTCATAGAATAAGCAATTGGAGATTTTTTTTTTTCCTTCCCTCTGCATTTCTTGCTGTACAAAGCAGTATGCATATTAAAGTATTTTTGATCTTTAAGTTAGGATACCCTCTACTGGCTATTTTTGGAAATAAATCTGAGCTATAGCCTACCAGTTTGGAGTCAGCAGTGGTTAAACTTAATCTGTACTGCAGTTTTCATGTAATTGGGTTTTTATGGGTTTGAGAGGAGTTTGGGGTTTTTTTGGGGGGAGGGGAGGATTTGGTTGGTTTGTTGTTGTTGTTGTTGTTGTTGTTTTGGTTTGGTTTTTAATCCCTAGCCCCCCTACCCACATACACACATGTCCCTCCAGCTTGTGCAGAGTGAATCTGCCTGTGATTAAACTGTATTTTTAATGCAGGTTGTTATAGCTTCCCGGCTAACAGCTCTATAGGTACAAACAGAAATAGCTAGATGTTATCATAGCTCTTGTTGCCTAGTAACCAAAGCCCAATGTATAATTTCAGTGTGATAAATATAATGCACTTTGCCTCTCTTTTCCTTGTTGGTAGTGGAATATGCATAAATATATTTAGATTTAGTTATCAGACAATAAGACATTTAAAATTTATTAAAACCTGTAACTTTACAAACTCAATTAGAATTATTTTAAGAGCTGATGTAAATTTCCCATAATGAAGAGATGTTCTTGTAACATTGCTTTACTGCTCATATGCATGAGCAAGCATCTCAGAGTGGCTGTGCTTATAAATCTAAAATTATTTTCTGCATACCATTCTCAGATCTCACCTTTCCATTTTATTTAATGATTTGATGATGATTTTACATATTTTTCTACTGAATCCATTTAAGCAGTTCAGGTTGTTCTCAAAACAGTCAAGATTTGTTCTCAGAGTTATTTGCTCAGCTATACCGATAGCATGCCTAAAATTATCTAGCACTGTGTTTGAATCAGTTATGGAATTTATAAGCAGGTGTGAAATGTTTCCTTCAATTGAAAAAGTTATCTAAATAAATACTTGTATCAGATTTTTAGCCCTGATTTTTGGTATGTAATTTCATATCTTATCCTAGAATTCATTATCAAATGAATTATCCACATGCTGTTAAAAACTAGTCATACTGTAGTTCTAGTAATAGAAAATGTATTACTAATATTATCTTCACATTTTCATAAACATATGCTAAAATAAAATGAGTTCACTGTACTGTTTTAGTTTTGTCATTAGTAACCTTTAAGCTTGCTTAATTTTTTAATTATGTGACTTTACCTAACACTTGTGCCTAGTACATACAGATCTCCATTTATTTTGTTAGACTTATTTGATATTTTCAAGGATTATCTAAGGTTTAAACTAGTTTCTAGTTATTTTGCTTAGCAGCAGTGCAATCACATTTGTGTTTCCTTCATTCCACTTTCATTAAGTTGATAAGCAAAGCAAACTCTTGTTAAATATATGCTCCTTCTTTTTTGCTGTCTACATTGATAGCCAAATGTGTAAAACAGAGGCTAAAGTGGATTATTGCTTCAAATTAAAAATTAATACCTTCAGAAAGATGATTTTCAAGCAGGCTTCATATGTGGAAGGCTGGAGAGAGAGAAACAGCCATAAACAGTAGAAGCGGGACCAAAAAATGAAGTTTAAAGCAGACATTAGCTTTAGTCCTTTTATGACCCAAACTAAACCAAACTGTTAGTTTTATTCCAAGAAAAAAAAAAAGTCTAAAGAGTAAACAGTAACACTAGCTCTTTAGAAGCTAAGTAGACAGATGCTTACAGAGATGACGGCAAACATTTGCTTCTTCAGACAGTGACTGAGATTAAAACTTCTTCCAAAGAGCAATAATGTAGAAGTTTATTCCACAACTTTCACATAGTATGTGTTACACAGGTTTCTAAATTGTTTTACTCTGCTCTTCCAGCTGTCTTTATTCTTCCAGTTTTCTTCTTGTTTAACTTTCTTTAATTCTACCCAAGTAATTGTTAAAATGAAAAGCAAACGTTAACAAGAGGAGTCCTGCCATTGTTTTTGGTAGTTTTTTTGCTTGCTTATTATTGTTGCCACCCCATAGCGTATGTTTTCTCTATATGCAAGTGAACAGTTGCAAGGCTTCCATGTTAAAATCTTCCTTCTTGTCATCTGCTGAAGATGCAAGCTAACATTACTTTCACACTTGAATTTACTAAAATAGAAGTCTCATTAAAATAACTTTCAAAGGCACAGAAAATTAAAATATTATGAAGAAGAAATTGTAGGTAGCAGTATGGAATTTCACTCAAAGGCAGATATAGTTCACCTAAATCTCGTGGTTAAGTTTTACTGGGCAAATAAAATGTATGATACAGTTTTTAAAAACTTATTTTTTGCTTGCTTTGTGGAAGTTGAAGGACAAATATGTTGTTTACACCAATTCCTTACTGATATGGATTTTTAATGAGTTACAGAATGTATTGTATGCTCAGGCTTTTAAATGCCTGAATTGTCATTCTTACGAGAAGGTCATAGACTTCTTTGGAAGCTGAATTGAGTCCTTACTGGAATCAGTTGCATAAAGATGCTTATTATTGATGATTGAAAAATGGTACAATGCCCAGTGCCTGCATGCAAACAAGATTCACATATTCTATCATGGTCTATAAAACTTTGTTTTAAAGAAATATCTAATGCTGAAAGTTTGGAAATTACATGTAATTATGTAGTGTTGGAAACAGTGAGAAGGGAACTTTTGAATGAATACTGGGAAGAGTTTACAGAAAGTGTGAGAATTATAATCTATGGAATGATTTCATAGTGAACACGGTGGTAGAGATGTTGCTTGTAATTTTAAATCTTAAATGGTGTTTGCAGGAATGTAAAATCATGCTGATGTTGGGGTTTAAGTTCTTCAGTTGCATAGTGGTGAAATTTTCCTCTCTGTTTTTGAACTCTTTAATGGATTATTTTGTTTTCTTTATTAATATTGGGAATACTCTTGTATAAGCTCAGAATAGAGTTGGCTTATTAACCACCTGTTACTTCTTACAGGTACTGCTACCAGCAGCTGGTCTTTTGCAGCTGCAGGATGTGAAAAGGACTTGCTGTGAATTTTTGGAGTCCCAGCTTCATCCTATCAACTGCTTGGGAATTCGCGCTTTTGCTGACATGCATGCATGCACAGATCTCTTGAACAAGGCCAACACATATGCAGGCAAGTTATCCTTAGTATAGCATGTAGCTTGATATTTGTGTGTGTGGGTACACACACACGCACACACACACACGGGTTCCATGTCCACCTGTCCCCACCCAAAGGAAACTGAGTTTTATCTAGGATATTGCAGACGTATCTTCTGGCATATGTAACTATGTTCTGGCTGAAACATAGTTAAAATAAGCACAAATGGGCAGCATCTTCACATGGTCATCATGCAGGATGCAAGGAGTTTGTAATCCAGAAAGAAGCTAGCTTGCTGCTTAAAAGTTTGCACCATCACTCAGAGGAGGAAATCGGGAAAGAAGAATTAAAATTCTGGCAACTGGCACAAGCCATAGTCTGTAGGAAGTACATGGAGGAAGAAAGACTACAAGGGCATGGGAAGTGGGGGAAACAGGCTATCTGTAGCCCCTTTACTGGCTAAGAACCAAGAAATGTACCATGAGTAAGTACTGTGTTATTAACTTTTCTTCTGAAAATTGTACTCATCTACCCCAAGACTTGGAATTTCCTACTATAAAGTGTACCTGTAGTCTCATTCTTCTGCCTTGACACAAAGTAGATAGAGGTATATCTTCTAACACCAACAAAATTCTACGGCTCAACTAATAAAATTCTACTTTTCTTGCAAAGAGCGCTTGCTATTGGATTGTTTCTCTTTTTTTTTTTTTTCTCTGAAAGAAGTGTTCATGGAATTCTTGATTTTATTATTTAAACTACATTGCCATGGTCAAGGACTATGTTATTCATATCTGTAAGAGGACTAGCTCATGTCAGGTCTTCACATTTTTGAAAAGTAGGTTCTTATTTTTGCTTGCTGTTGTGAAAGAAAAAGCAATTCTGATTCTGTGATAAAGTAACAGTAATGTTGTATGGAGGGTAGAAGGGTGAATAATTATTCCCTTTTTCTTGATGCTGGTGAGGCCTCAGGTGGAAAAATGCTGAACCAAACTTTATGACAGATGTAAACAGGCTGAAGTGCATAAAAGGATGCCTAACATGAACATATTAAGAAAACAGACTGAACTATGACAAAGACTGTGAGAGAAGAGAGTACTTTCAGTCAAGAAACTAAAGGCTAAGAGGATGAGAAGGAATGCAATCTTCCTGTGCATAAAAATGACTGAGAGTGAGTAAGCTTAACTTGTGAGGTATTTTTAAAGCTGTTTCATATATTAAGGAAAAATCGAACTGGAAAAGTAACACAGATCATGCAAGCTGTCTGTGCAAGTTATGGACTCTCCGCTGTTAGACAGCTGTTAAAACAACCCCAAAATGGTTAGACTAACTTCTGATTTAGGCTGATCTAAACCATGTCTGTGTGCAAAACTAGATGATTTGAAGTTCTTTCTAGCTTACATTTCTATGATTCTGTGAAGGCCAAAATATTTTTTTAATTTATATTCCAAATACATTTTCTGCTGTTGAAAACTGATATACATGTAGATTCAGAGAAACTATTACTAATTTTTAACATAATGGAGTAAAACCCTTTTTGACTGCTCTTGATGCCAAGAAAGGTTGCATAATGTAGATTACTAAAAAGTAAACAAAGCATTGTGTAAACTTGTAAGTTTGTAACATAACACTGTAACCAAAACTAAGGCTTTTAATTTTTTCAGGTAGCAATGTCCTTACTGTTCTTTTGTATATAGAGCGCCTTGGGATCTTGATGTATGAGTCGAGACTGAAGACATTACACTGAATAATTACTTTTTAATGGATGCTTTTTGTAGTGAAAACCCCGCTGTTTTGTAGGGTTTAACATACTAGCCAGCAAAGTAGTATATTTTGATTAGAGCTTTGGCAGGACAAATTAGAGAGCAGGACAAATCTGTTTGGAAATTCAGAAGTCACATGTTTTCAGAGGTTGAGTGTGACCTTCAGGTATTGCCTCCTTACATGCAGCTTGCCCTGTCTGCCCAGTCACAGATATTTTCCTGTCTTTTCTGTGTCTCTTGGATGTTTCATTTTTGCTTCAGGTTTGTCAAAAACTGAATTGCTTTCCATCTAATTATCTTTCCCATCTCCCTGTCTTCCTCAGTCACTGGTGACTTCAGTGTTCTCTCAGGCCTTCAGGTTCATAAACTTGACAGCTTTTAATTGCTCTACCTTTTTCTCTTAACTACTCAGTTGCATGTTCCTCTATCTTGTTTCTTCCCTCCCTACCAAATCTGTTCTACATCATGTTTCACTTTTGCTGCAATGTAAATCTACCTATGCCATAACTACTTCTGTTTGCTAAGGTCATTTTACTACTATTGCAATATTCCTTTCCCTCTGGATCAAATTCCAACCTCTCATCCTTGGCTTTCTCAGTTCAGCAGAATTACCTTCACTTGAATCTTTTATTTCATATCTCTCTCTACTCCTTTTGTGCATGAAACTAACCTTTGCTTTCCTCTGTAACCAAATGACCTTCCATTTCTGTCAGATTTCTCCAGAAAGCACTTTCCTCATCTATGCTTCCTTTTTTTGTCATCATATTCTTGGCGTCCTGCTGGCCCGTACTGCAGGCTGCCAGCTCAACTCCTACTGTGTTTTTGCTGTATCTGTGTGGTGAATTTTGAAGCCATGCACAGTCTGTTCTTGCTGTTGAGATAAATATGCTGTGCATAGTCAGAGTATGAGCTACTTTCATTGCATTGTACTCTCTGCACTGCCTCCCTAATCCCTAGCACTCTGTGAGGCTTAGTATGAGAGCAAAAGAGAATTAAAAATGAAATATCCTGATAAGGCGGCAGAAAAAGATTCATATGATTGCATTGCTTTTCATAACTTTCCTAAAATGCACAGTGACCAATTAGCATCATTAAAAATTAGTACAGAGTTAAAACTGAAAATTTTCCTGAAATAGAGCACTAAGTGCTTCAATTCATATGTCTGGGTCCAAATAATAGGCTCTTTATTGCCTTGAGTAATTTTAGACCTTATAAAAACAAGGATTTTGATTAATGCTTTCACTTACTTTAATTCCTAGAAAATCTGTTTTCCTGTATGGACTTCTTTTTTTTTTTTTTTTACTCACTTCCCACTTACAGCATCTCCTTCAAGAACGGATGTTTCAGGAAAAAGACAGAAATGCAGCAAACTCATATGATTAGGTGCATTTCAACAGAATCCTTGCTTGGTGTCTTAAGTATGAAACCGAGATATACAGATCAGCCATACTCAGGAGTTTTTAGTCTAGTGAAATTGTATTCAAATTACTTATATATCAGTTTTTTAAAATTCAAAAGCTGTTCAGGTTGGTTTTGAAAGTATTAGCTTTTGTAATGCGTACCTTACTGGAGAAGTTCCAATTTGTATGTAACTGAATGAGTTTTTGGTAACTGTATTTGGACTATCATGCAAAAAGTTTAATTAAATCTTTTTGTTTTTAGAGTAATTTAATATAAAATCCAAAAAGCTATCATATTTTTGACCTTTTATGCAATACAAAGCAAAGCTTACATTTATTAACTAGAGTTAATGTTTACATATTTAATGTTTTAAGGAACCCATTTTTATATAGCTGTTTCTTAATTTTTACTTTCAAATCATTTTTTCCAACTCTGACTATGCCTTAGTAACTTCTAAACTATTTCAGTTCCTTCTAAGCAATCTTTGTCCAATTTAGTGGTTGAAGTTAGCATTTATAGAGATTGCTTTCTAGAAATACAAAATCTATGACTGTGGCAAGACCTTGGGTGCAATATTTGTTAAATGTGTTTGAAAGCACAGGAACTGTCCAACTTGGAACCCTTCGTTCTCAGGGTCATTTTGTTCGGGCATCCTTTGCTGTGCTCAGAGAGACTCTGCAAGCAGGATCCAGGCAAGTGAAAAGGAATAGGAAGCTATTTGTTGGTTCTTGCTGGGACTTGCAAGCTGCTAGGCTGAGCACTGAGCATTCTCAGTGCTCCTGGTACAAGTGCCCAGAGAGGAAGGATTGGCCTCCAGTTCTCCTTGGAACGGGCTGATCATCAGTGTTGCTGGATTTCTGTCTGCTGACATCCTGGTTTTCTTCTGTACACTTGTATACCTTTTCAGGTCAATATTTTCTCCTCTTGAATTTTCAAGCTTCTTACTGCCTATATCTCAGCTATCATAGCATTCTGGAGCTCTGACTCTAAAACTTTGAGACCTGACTGGACTTGGAAGCATGCATGTCTTCTGTAAACTATTCTTGTGTGCATTCATACACATGAGATTGAAAGGACATCATTAGCAGAATTGTTCTTGCGATTCTGTTCTGAGTAGCAATGTCTGTTGCTATGCTTCTGTTACTTTGGCTGCTATGAGTTTCATGGTGTTCTCAAAAGCAGTTTTTTAAGCATAAAATGGACAAGTAAATCAGATTTTAAAAAAATGATTCTGCAGTGTTTAGCTTCTGCTGGTTCTCCATCTGGCTGAGCTTGCATCTATCCCTCTATAGTGAGGCTGGGTTCCTGCTTGACCAGTGTGTTATGTTAGGCGTATGTTAGCAAAGACTTTTTGTCACAAGCTAGAAGAACCTCACAGTGTGACGTTGCGAATTGAAGCAATAAGAAATAAACTACTTCTTGCTACACATTTTTGTTTCATCTGCTTGAGAAATTGTCATTGTTCTTTTAAGTGAATGTAAGGTACAGATGTTGCCAAGCTCCCATGCTTTGCATTGCTGTAAAACAAGAGGATCTCAGTTCAGAAGGAAGCTATGTTTCTGAAAGGTTTCAGATGTTTTTTTGGCATTATCACATCAGAAAGATGCAGGTACTCCACTGTGTTGATTAAAAAAACAGTCTGTTTTGTGAAATAGAAATAGTTGACCTAAACCAGACAAAAGACACTTGTGAGACTTGAGATATTTGGTTGTGATATTTTATTCCACAAACTATTGGACATTGGATTACTGTCACAAAAAGATCTAGGAAATATGAGGGGGATTTTTCATTTTTCTAGCTGCAGCCTCTGGTACTGATAACTTCTGACCATGTTTCTCACAAGTGTTAATGTGGCTTTGGTAAGATCTCTGTTATAAGATTTCTGAAAGTGTACAAAATATTAATACCCATTTCCAGAAATCTTTTAAAGTGTCATCAGCTGCTGGAACACCTCAGAAAAATTTTAGAAAATGACTGAAGCAAATTAGTGAGGGAACAGAAATTTAGGCAGTCTTAAAGTCATACATGGAGACAAATTATGACAGCAACCACTGAAATAAAACACAAAGGAGAAGATGGGTGACAGTCTTTTATTTTTGGCCATCATGATCCTCTGAAAGGTTTTTAATCTGAGGGAACTTCAGCAGACCTTTGCTTCTGTATTTGTTTGTTCCATTTAGTAAAGGCAGTTAAGCCAGAGAAGGTCTGGCTTTAAGTAAATAAATGAGTGAAATAGTGCTTGAATTAATCTACGACTGTTTATAGCATGCAATGTCCTGTACAGATTTCAGATGTAGTCTTCCTTCCTATGTAATTGAAAAATATAAAGTTAGTGACAGTAACTTTGTGTCCAGCTAACTATGTGCCTTTCAGATAGAAGAGTAAGTCAAGCGCTTACTGTTGCTATGTGTCCGTAGAATACAGATCTCCAAACTCATGATGAAAAATACCAAAAAGTGGTAGGCTCCTATTATCTTCCTTTCCTCTCTACACTGGCATTGTTTATTGTACTTGCAAATATTTTGTTATTAGCCCCTTTCATATTGATAAGAACTTCCTTTTTGTCCTTTTAGTTTGTCCATGAAGCTATGCTAAGGGAAATGCTAAGTCTCATCCTACTGGTGCAGGGCAGACAAGGACAAATCTTTAGCTATTCAGATAGAAACCGTCTCTGTCTGTTGCAAAAATCTGAAAATCCGTTTTTTTCATGTGCAATTGGAACGGATATTTTTGAAAATGGAAGGAATTTTTTTAAGGCAGATTTTAGTTTTGATAATAAAGAAGTAGGATTCTGCTTGCCAGCTTGTTTCTATGCTGCCTGACTCTGGAGCCAGCCGGCTTCAGTGTCTGGGTAAAGTGGCAAGAAGTGGGGCAGGATTCCAATCCAAATTTGTCAAAGTTGCACACTGTGCAGAAAATTCTCATTTGGAAAAAAAAAAAGTATTCTCTCACAAAAACTTCCAGCCAGATAGTTCTATCTGTTTGCTTATCTAGGAGATGTTAATGAAGAAACAAGTATCTTAACAAATAAAAGCCAAGCTAAATTGAGATTTTGCAGGGGACAGATGCATGAAATATTTAAACATGTCATAGGTTTCATGATGTTTGTTAATATCTCCAGATTATCAAAGCTTTCAGAATGTGAGCAATTATATGGAATAATACGAATCCTAACCCAGTAGGCAAAAAGTACACACTCCCCACTACTATTTTTCTGTCATAATTATTGGAAAAAGAGAATCTAAGTGGGATTTTTGGAACTGTTACTACTGAATCATACTTCAAAATTGCTAATATCCTTCTTATAAATGGAAGCAAAAAATTTGAATTTCATAAGCATTATTTATATATATAATAAAATGTCTTCTGTCTTCAACACTTGAACAGCTTTAGATAAATTGCCATTGGCAGATCTAATTGGTGTTTTTGCATTTCCTTCTTCTTTTTTTCAGTTTCTAATTATTTTGAATAATCCATTTAGCTGTAATTTCAATTGGCTTCTGCCAAAAGGTTATCTATCAGTCTGTTAAGATGGTTTCCTTGACAGCAAGAGATCTGGTTCTTAAGAGACAAGCTATTTCCCCTTACCTGTTTTCTTCAACTAGACTAAAATTCACATAGCAGTCTACTCTCCTATTCTCTTTTTTCCTGTAATTCATTCAGTGGAGCACTTGTTTCCAGGTGTTGCTTGAGAAACTGAGTCTGTAGCTATTGACCAAGTAGGTTAATTTCTCCTTTTTTTTCATTCTTCTCTCTTCTCTTGGTTTTGTGCCTTGTTTTATGCTTTAAGCACAGAGACTGGTATCCAATAAAATCGTCTTAGTTTTGTTTGAGTACCGTCTATTTTTTTTTCACATTTTCTTACACAGTTCTCTTCCTAGCATGAGAGCAGGAGACAGCCATCCATACACTGTAATACTTTGTAAATTCTGAAATTTTACTCTTTTGATTTAGAGGCTGGATCTCTCTATGTAGAGCATGTTATAAATCTAAATCAAATTTTAAAAGCAAGGCTTTTGTATACGAGCCTGTAGAATCAACTGGCTGTTTCTAGTTTACAAAGTGTGTCCTGCTGGATGTGATCCACTGTTGGATTGGTTTTCTCAAGGGAAGATGAACAAGCTTCTGAACCTCAGATTTCTTTGAGATTTCGATGAGTGTTGCTTCCCCTTTATGTTTGCTTCGTAACTCAGCTTCGAAGTACAGTCAGACATGCTGTTTTGTGGCACTGTCAGTTGAAATTTGGAGTTTATAATAAAACTAATTTAAGCAAATTACCTTTCTCAATTTCTGTTTGCCTTATGCAAATAATAAAATTAATCAGATACTCCTTTCAATGTGTACCTCAGAAAATTCTACTCCGGCTTAAGAAACTGCATATTTGTAGTCTGAAAAGCAAACAGGCATGAAGATTTTAAGAGGGGAAGAGTAATGGTGGTATTATAAAAATCAGTAGTATTTCTCCTCATCCTTTCTCTCCCATTGCCTGAAATATAGCAGAAAATACTAAACATCCATCAGAATTAGAAGGACTTGTAGTCATGATAATTGTGTGAATGAAAAGGCTGGTAGGATGAGGGACTGAAACAGCAAGGACTGCCTACTTTAAATAGAGATGAAGGCTAAAAAGTAATATAGAATAATGAATGACTTTGACTAGACAGGTTGCGGCCTTCCTTGTCAGCATTAGAATGTGGGGATATTAATTGAAAACTGGGTCTAATGGTAAACTGGGTCTTGAATTTAGATGTAGAGATTTTTGTTCAATGAGACTGTGGGCTTATTACTATAGGAATGTACTAAAGTCAAGAATTTAGTAGGATTCAAGAGGACTGGACTGTGTCTCACTAAACTCATCGTTTAGTAAAATGTGGTTAATGTAAAATATCATCCTTCTGGCTACCATTCTCTCATCTTTCATAGTTACAGTGAGACCTTTATGGGAGAAGGTTTTTTAATCATACTTTCCATATATATTCTTGGACTTTTGTCTGAAGCAATTTGTGCTGCCCATTTCAAGTAACAGGATTCTGAACCAGATAAAGAACAAGAATTATACTGTATTAGATTTATCTTCTTGTGCTCTCTAATCTTTAGTACAGTGCAAAAAACCTGTCGTACCCTGCAAAGTTGACCTGAAAAATTTAAGCTTCTTGATCTGGAAGCATTCAGTATTTAACTTTTTTTTAAGAGCTTAAGATAGTTTGTCAAGTCTGGAGTCTTAACTATAAGAGCACTAGTGGATGACAGAAAAATGCTTTGAAAAGTTCTTTAATTTTAACATGTTTTATGATCTTTTTCTACTAATTCTGATTTTGAGTGAATTTTTAAATTCCTAGTAACAGTTGTCCTTTCCAACTTCTGTTAAGAATAGCTGAAGGGCGGAAAGTAACAAATAACTGGATGGAGTTACTTTTTAAGCAACTGAATGGCTTAAAAAGCAATTTAAAGGAAGGGAGAGGACAACTGAATAACTGAACAACTTGACAAAGATATATTGCTCTATGTTAAAAGAAAATGTTTGGTTCTACAACTAAAACATTACATTTTATTCATTTTGTTTACTTAAAGTTGTGGCATTAAAAACAACTGAGGAAAAATTACATACCTACAGATTGTAGAGCTTGTGATATGCAATATTTTTATGACCTTGGAGAACCTCTGAGACACACAGCAGGTTCCAGACTTATTTTATTTGACCTATATTAGACTGCAAAACTGCTGGTTAGTTCTAATAAATCAGCCATTGTTCATGTTGAACTGCAGGTTTAAAACATGTTTGTCAACAACATACAGAGCATGTTCTTTTTCTGCAGTCTTTTTTGCTGTCTTTGTGCATACAAAGATAGCAAAAGGCAGTTCAAGTAATTTTCAAGAATGAATACTGACATGAAGCAATGCTAAAAATGGTAAATTGCTATGATTGCTACTTTTAGTATATCATGTTTTAATATTTCAATTATTTTAAAGGATCTTTAAATATAAAAGATGTTTGTGAGATCAAGCTTTAACATACATAAAATGTTTTAAGGTATTGCTTCTAAATATGACAAAATAGCATGCATATTGACTTGTTTTCCTCTATTTTTCCTCTACTGCTTTAATGCTTGTTGTGGGATATGCTTATCACTGTATGTTAGAGCACTACTTTTCCTTTAAACAGAACAGCACTTTTCTGATGTCGTACTTAGTGAAGAATACCTCAATCTTGGTGTAGAGCAGGTGTGCAGTCTTATATCCAGTGACAAACTCACGATTGTCTCAGAAGAGAAGGTAAGACCATCTGTATCACAGTATTCTTTTTATCCTTCTGGGTGAAAGAGCAAGCTTGCCCTTACTGCTCTTGTATACTTGTTTGGAAGGATTCTTTGTTTCCTCAGTGAAAATAGGCATGTATTGTGCTCATGTTTAAAGGATTTTTCCCAAAAGTGTTGTCAGTCTGATGTTGAAAACTAATCTCAACTCTTAATAATCCTAAAACTGTATTAAATCCCATAACCCTTTGTTCTTTGAAAAAAATGGAAACTATATTAAATGGAAATGCCTTCTTATCAAGCAGAACAAACAGAACACGTGCTCTGAGTCACATACACAGGAGTTTGGTTTACCAGAGGATAACTAACTTAAAAATAGTAGTTTGAAGAGCAAGTATATGCCATCTACTAACCTTAACATCAGCAGTCCCGCAAAGGTATTAGAACTCTGTACGTATATGTAGGCTGTTTAACTGAACAGATATGGCTTGCAAAGGAGATGGCTAGGTAGCTTGGTATAACCAAATTTGAGTTTAAATATGTGTTGGCTCACCTTTAGCTGGATCTCATTTTTTTTAAAGCCATTTTTGAAACTCTGATCTTCAGTGAGCCCAGTGCAACGCTTCAAACCTCTGCTGGTTTTCAGGTTGTAGATGTTTTCATTTTTTTATCAGTTGTTCTCAGTTTAAAATACATTGGTTTTCTTTTTTTTCCAAGAAGTATATAGATATACTAACATCTCTGTTTAAAGGAGGCTAAATTGTATTCAAAAACATGTTTGAATACTGATTTGTATGACTAGGTAGTGTTTCATGTTAAAACCTTTTCGAAACTTTACATCTTAGAACTGCTTAAACTGCAACCAGCAAAGTCGTGTTGTTGTTCCCATAATACCCTGAAGGTCCGGATCTATCACTTTGACGTTGATACATGTGATGCTACTTCTGTGCAGTATAATTAAGGTTTTATGCTATAGTGTATGATGAACTGCTGCGCAGTAGAAGAGAAACTAGGCTTGGGATCTCTTTTAGTAAGACTTGGTGATGAGAAGTAATTTGAGTGATGATGTGGAAGGTTGATCCTCCAAGAAAGGAAGAAAAGGATGAGGATTGTAGTATGTTGTTGCCGTGTTGTTTGTTTACCTAGTTTCATCGGATTTTCAGTATCAATGAAATTACTGTGTGCGTTTTGTCAATGTAGCACAGCTGTCCTTGAAGCACAAGCAGAGTGATATAAACAGAGACTGGCTTATGCATCTTCAGAATTTCGTAGTGGGTAAATACAGAAATAACTGGAGCTGTAACTGCTGTTGTCTTTCTCACGTTGGGAATTTTAGTATAAGCAAAAACTGTTTTTTGGAGTCATACGGATATTTTCATACTGTTGCATTTGTAAGTCAAAGGACTTGCATTTGTTTGTTTCCTGGAAGGTATTTGAAGCAGTGATAGCGTGGGTTAACCATGACAAAGATGTAAGGCAGGAGCTAATGGCACGCCTGATGGAGCATGTTCGGCTGCCTTTGCTTTCCCGGGAATATTTAGTTCAGGTAAGCAAAAAGGAATACTAATTCTTCTGCACGTGAACAACTGTTTGGTTGGTTTGGTTTTGTTTGGGTTTTTTTAATGCTAGATGGAGAATTTTAATTTTAAACAACAGTGTAATATAATGTGTTACTAATTGCAAAAATAAACAGCCAGCCACCACCACGTACGTATGTGTGCATACACACATGCGCACAGAGTCAAATGAAGGATTGCTGCTTAGAGAATGATGTAAGTAATTTATCTGTTTGACTGACTACTTGTCATACCACATGAGTAATGTGAATGATTTAATTTGCTGAGATCAAGTTAGCTTTCATTTTTAATACGATCTTTGATACGAGATTTGTTTTCATAAGTGAATTTTCAACTTCAAAATTTTATCTATTTATAAGTTGGTTAGGAAATATTGAAAAGTAAACATTCTTTTATTTGGTTGAGATATAATATGCTCTTTCAAATTTTATAAGCTCATTTTGACTATTTTGGTGTCAGGACAAATATGACTTCGCTATTAACATTGGTTAGCAGGTGTAGTAGTAGTTTGGTAGGTGTTTATTTTAGAAAGTCTGGTTTTGTGATACGAATTTTCTCCACTTTGAGTAGGTGTTTTTGTTGATTTTTTTTGTTTGTTTGATTTGTAATCTGGATTTGGTTTCGTTTTGTTTTTCTGTTGTGTTTTTTATTGTTGTGGGTAGCTTACTAGTTTGTTAAATTCATCTCCATTACTCCCCCCCTTAGTGATCTATACTCTGTATTTGAAAAGTCAAGAAATGTACTTGATTGTAAGAAAAGTTATTTACCTTGCCTAACATTGTTTCTTCCACTTACTAACTGAGAATCAACATCTCCTGTTTTTTATTCTTTCTTTTTAGTGACTCCAGACGCTATCACATAAATTTGTGTCTGTGGTTAAATGACAATCTGAAAAATCAGAGTAATGTGCACTTGTGTGATATAACACAGGTTTTATTACACTTCAGATTGTGATTTGTTTTGCTTCCTTAACATGCTCAGACCTTGTTAAACTTCTATTAATAAACAGAGAGTTGAAGAGGAAATATTGGTTAAAAACAGCAGCGCTTGTAAAGATTACCTCATTGAAGCTATGAAGTATCACTTGCTGCCGACTGAACAACGAGCACTGATGAAAAGCACTCGAACGAAATTGAGAACACCCGCTAGCCTTCCAAAAGTAAGACCCTTATTTTTTCCAGTGTAGTTATTTCTTCAAACTCCATTTTGACAGATTCCATGAAAGCATCACCATCATTTGGGTATTCCAGTAAAAAGTTTTGTAGCAGACTTATTTCTCACAAAAATATAACAAGTGATTAGCTCTATGATCCATACTACTTCATACTACTTATGACGATATATGTGATTCAGTATCTCACCTACACACCTCACCACTACTACCTCCCCTCCCAATAAATATTTTTTAATAAGTGCTTTAGCATTTGAGAAATATACAATTATGGGAAGTAAGCCTATTTAAAAAAAACACAAAACCAACCAACCAACCAAAACAAAGGAAGGACTGATGCTTCTGAGTTGAGGCATTTTATTCCATTTTTAGCTAAAAAGCATTTTAGCATTTTTAGTCTTTTATTCATTTTATGCAAAACCAAACATTAGATATTATTTTCTTTCCAATGAAATAAAGAAGCTTTTGCATAGTACTGTTACAGCAAATGAAATAATGGAATAGGAGGTTCCATTCAGCAGATTTAGCACATTTCTCTCAAGGGAACCAGATAAGGTTATTCTGTGAATGATGGTCACAGTTCAATTGAACATCATAGACACTGAATTCTCATACCTGGGATCAGAGTAGGAAGTGAAGATACAGTAAAATCTGCCACGTTCATGGGAGCTCTACCTAGATTCTAATTCTTCCTGCTTTTCTACCTTGGATACTTCCTCTGGACACAATAATTACAAATTGCATGTGTTAAAAAATAAAAATAATTTAACTTTGACTAGCTTGCAAGACTCAAACTTCTTATTTAGAGAATCATCCATTAATTATTTCTTGTACATAAGTTTGCTTTATTTTTTAACAGTTTTTTGATCTTTCAGATGCTCTCATATATGCAAATAACAAGTAGTATTATCTCCCTTTTAGTTGATGATGGTAGTTGGAGGGCAGGCACCAAAGGCAATTCGCAGTGTTGAATGCTATGATTTTAAAGAAGAACGCTGGCATCAGGTGGCTGAATTGCCTTCCAGAAGATGTAGAGCAGGTAAATGATGCCTAATTTTTTTGTTGTGGTTCGCAGTGCTTCAGAATTTAAGTGTCTGTATAAATCATTGTATGTTCTTTGGAACAGTACTTAACAGTAAAGTACTTAAAAGTACTTATCTGAGAAGGGCTAAGCCTTCACTTCAGTGATCATTCTTAACATTCAAATTACTTGCTAATCTGGAACAATACGAGTTTGATAACTTGATCTTAATTTGTGCTTCAGTTTGTAATCTCTAGAATAAACTGCTTTATTGCCTTCTGTAGATACAGAGGATAAATAAATATAAATATTAATTCATTATAGTAGTGAGTAATTTCACCATTAAAATATCATATTATTAAATGAGTTGAAGAATGTGAAGAAGTGTCCAACTGATACTGAAAATGTGATCTGAGCAGCTGAGATATCTAACCGATAAGTGCAGCAAGCATGATATTCAGAAGTATGAGCTAGAAATAACAAAAACTGTCAACTTCCAGTGCTTAATCTGAATGAAGTGTGGCTCTAGGACACTGTCAAAAGCCCAATAGCGTAGTGACTTTAAGTTGTCATCTAGTTGCATACTTAGAGGACAGTATGGAATAAAATTAATTCACAGACTGAAACGCTCGTCTTTCCTCCCCGTTTCCCTGCTCTAGGCATGGTGTACATGGGAGGTATGGTTTATGCTGTTGGTGGTTTCAATGGTTCATTGAGAGTTCGCACAGTAGATTCCTATGATCCAGTGAAGGACCAGTGGTCAAGTGTTGCAAATATGCAAGACCGGAGAAGCACACTGGGAGCAGCTGTATTAAATGGCCTTCTTTATGCTGTGGGAGGATTTGATGGGAGTACAGGTATTATCGCCTTTACATACTGCTGATTAGCTTTGACTACTTCTGACATAATTGTATCAAATTTGAATGTGTCTTTCCTGGTAGCTGTGATGAAACCAAGCATGATGGTAGCTTAGTATCTTGTGGTGTGCAGTGTGCTTAGTGGTCACATCCTTCTATTGGGTTGCCCAAAAAGTAATTGGATTTTTTTCTGGGTAAATGAAACGTGATTTTTTCTTGGAAAACAAAAAACTGTATTAAACAATATAGTATCGATTTTGTTCAATTACCTTTTGCCATCTTTCAGGCAACTTCATGATTCTGTGCTCAAAAAAAGTTATTCTCTTTTTTGGCAAAAAAACAGTTCCAAGAATTACTTGATATCCTCATCGGCAGTGAAGGTTTTACCATTCAAGGCATTTTGTAAAGAACGAAACAAATGGTAGTCTGATGGTGCCAGGTCTGGCGAACATGGAGGATGTGGTAACACATCCCAGCCAAGCTGTAACAATTTTTGACAAATGACCAAACTGGCATGTGGTGTAGCATTATCATGGAGAAACACAACACCTTTGTGTTTCACCAGTTCTGAACACTTCTGTTTGATTTAATTTATCCAGTTGACAACAGTACATGTCCAAATTAATGGATTGGTCCCTAGGAAGCAATGCAAAAGCAATGCAAAATACACAATACCTTTGAAATCCCACCAGACTGACAGCATAATCTTCTGCTGGTGACTATCTGCATTTGATGTGCTTTGAGCTGGTTCGTCACGCTTGCTCCACAATCTTTTTCATTCATCATTGCTGTAGATGATCCATTTTTGATTGCCAGTTATCATACATTGAAAAAATGGATTGTTTTCCTCACATTTCAAGAGAGAATCACAGATGTCAACACGCTTAGCGAGACTAATTTCTTTAAGCTCATGTGTTAGCCAAATATGTGGTCTCCTAACATATCCAAGTTGTTTTAAATTTTTTTCAACACTGGATTTCAATATGTAAAGATTATCATCAATCTCTCATGTCATTAAATGCCAACTGGAGTTGATAACTTCCTTTATTTCGCTGTTATCAACTTTGATTGGCCTTCCTGAGAGTGGTGCATCTTTAACATAAAAATCTCCAGACAAAAATTTACCAAACCAATTCTGACACTGCAGTAGTTTTAAGGCATCTTCAACATACACATCACATAACTTTTCAGGAGCTTGCACAGCATTTTTTCCTTTTCAGAAGTAATACAGCAAAATATGAGGAAAATGTTCCTTTTGATTTTCCATTTTGAAATCTATGCCAAATAAATAATTGTTAACAAAGTTGGGCACTTTCTTTTTCTAAAACAAGCTTGACCTGTCAGCTGTCAAGTTACATAATGAATTTGCAGTTTAAAATGAAGTTAGTCACACTTCAAGGCATGTATGTCCATCTATTAAAATAAACCCACAATTGCTATTTAGCCAACCCAATAGCTGAGCAGTGGAGTGTTTGCTTCCATCCAAGAGTTTAGGCGTAATGCCTAGTGGATCTCTGGGAAGTTCCCTTTCAGTATTCCTTCTATAGTTAGAGTCCTTAACTCATGGAAGATGTGAGCAGGAAAACTACCTGGTCTCTTTTGTCCTGTTTGCATATGAAATATACCTCTGTGTTTTCACATACTGTAGGATTACCAACAGCTTTCTCTGACCTGTGGGAAGGCCGGGGACATACACTGTTCATTCTTTTCACAAATGCATTAAACCATTTGTCCTTTACCGTAACAATTACTGAATCATATGTAGGACAGAGCATTGTGACTTAATTAAAAAGAAAGGAAAATATCCAGGGAAGAATTTTTCAGAGTTCCACAAAAGCTTTTATTAATTTGCCCACTTAAAGACACCAAGAATGGGTTGACTGTAAATCTAAACATCAGGTGTGCCTTTTGCACAGTACTTACCAGTCCTTAAAATGACATAATTTGAATTGTCAGATGAGAAGCGTTTTCTGGAAGGTAGACATTATGTTCCACCTAGATTTATAGAAAAAATAATGTTATATTGTCTTCATAGGTTTATCATCAGTCGAAGTTTACAACTTAAAGACTAATGAGTGGTTTCATGTAGCTCCAATGAACACAAGAAGAAGTAGTGTTGGTGTAGGCGTTGTTGGAGGTAAGTTGACAAATGATACTAAAAAGAAAGGAGAAAAATGCAATCATTTACTACCTTTTCTCACTTTTGAAAACATATTTCAGATTTATATTTTTGCTCAGCATTGTAATTTAAATGGTATGGACAATGCGTAACTGTTCTGTTTGGTTTTGACCAGGTTTTAGCATAGCTGTTTTAATTATCTCTTTTTTTTTTTTTTAGAGCTTCAACTGTGCCTGAGGCCAGCTGAGAAAAAGCTTGCTAAGAATGCATGCTCTAGGTTATGCATGTCAGCAAAGCTAGGGAACCCAATTACTGAAGTGATTACCTTATAAATTGGTCTTTAGTGATGCAGCACTGCAGTATTGTCAGCTCTGTTATCTGTGGCCGACTTTGCTGGTTGCAGGCTGAGGATGATCTCAAGGACAGTGCCAGGAAAACTTTTGGTTTTTGAGTCAGCTTGGTGGTGAATAGCCTGAATGTCGCTTGTGCAGTTGAGACCTGGGCTGGCTCTTGGGTCTTAGAACAGTATTAGATGTGTGTGTGTTTTAACTGCATAGAAACCATTGCTGTTCCTGATCTGAAAATGCAGACTGCATACGTAATTTTCATCTGAATTTCTGATATTTCTAGGAAGCCTATTTGTGCTTCTGATGTTGAATGTACTTGAATTAGCTTGCTTGAACAATTCTTAAAAAAACAGGGTAAAGTACCTTTGTATTTCAGCTATGCAATTTATAATCTTTGACCTGTGGTGTTCTTGTTGGATACTGGCTGCCTTTTATATCCAAAGACAAAAACTATTTACAAAATAGAAACTCAGTAACTGATTGATGACAGGTACTGATTAGTAGCTAATTCAGAGAACAATGACTTCCCCTCAGCCTGTGTATCAGTATAGTCTGTGTGCATTAGAAATGTTTAGGTTTCTGTTGGTTACCCTTCTAGGTAAACTGTATGCTGTTGGTGGCTATGATGGGGCGTCACGTCAGTGCCTTAGTTCAGTAGAATGCTATGATGCTAATACAAACGAGTGGACCTATGTTGCAGAAATGAGCACTAGACGGAGTGGAGCAGGTGAGTGGGCAGGAATCAACTATCCTTGTAAAACTGAAACAGAGCTGTGGTTTTAAAATTTATCTAAAAATATAAAAGGTAAGCTACAATCCGAGTCTAATAGAATGTGTTAGTCTTAGATGACTGATATATTGCAGGATGTAAACACAAATCTGTCCTACAGAGTAAGATTCAGTCTGTTAATAGTAAATACCTTTCCTTTTTCATACTTTTCATGTTCCTCCTCTTCCCATAACTTCTGATGTTTTTAACATACAGATTAGTATGCATGGATTGTGACAATCAATTTAAAATCATCTAAATACTGAAGTATCAAAATCTAGATGGCCAGGATGAAAAAAATGTCATTTCTTCAAAGATGTCCCTTTGCCAGTGTAGGGACGATTTTTCTAACAGGGTTTTCCGGTTGACTTTGTGTGAACTGTGACTAGATTTCCACCTCTTTGGAGGACTTGTTCTGCATTCTGATCCACTGCAGGAAATTTTGTCCTTGTTCATTCTTAAGTTTGTATTACTGGTTTCATCCTATTACTCCCACTTATGTACCCTTTGTTTCATCTTCAGTAATTCTTCTCATCACCTGATGTTTACATCCTTTGGATATGTATAGGCTACTACATGTTATCCTTCCTTATCATTTAGCCAAGGTGTATCCATTTATTTCTTTATAATCTTAAAAAATCCCTTCTTATCTTTTTTTTTGTGTGGATTTTTTTTCCTTGCGATTCTGAGTATGTATATTTCTCTTTAAAGACATCAACAGTGCCTGTGGTATTCCACTTTTGTTTAATGAAATAATACTTTCACAGCTCCAAACTGACTTTAGCATTTTCACTATTTATATTATGGACTCATAATTTACTGTTCACTGTCCTCTATTTGTCTTTTGGTATTTCAGGTTTTTTCAACTTACAGAAGTTGTTTTATTTCTCTAGATGTGTTCCCATGGACTTTTTCAAGTCAAATGACATGATACTATTTTTCTATGTTTATTTTTTAGTTGTTTAAGTCACTTTTTTGCCAAGTAGTCAATGGTTCCTTTTAGCAACACCCTTCAGCTATGTGCTGGTGATTGCATTAGTGTTCTTCATAACTGGAAGAGATGCTGCTACAAATAAAGAGATGATTAATAGTTATTCCAACTTTTCATCTTGCCTTCCATTACTCTTTATTAACTCTGAACTGTTTTTAATCTGTATAATAATGTTAATTAAATCCAAATTATTTCAAAAGAAATAAAAGTATTAAATACATTACTGAATTTAAGATATTTAGTTTGTGATGTTTTGATTGTGTTTCTAAACTAAAAATATGACATTAATGAAGGAAACATGATACGCTGTATCTCGACAAAACATAGTTGTCTTGGAAAACTTCTAGTTACTCAGTTTGTGTATCTTGGAAGTAAATTCTGGATTAAAAACTGGACAGAGTTGCAGTAAGGGTATCATTAAATACTCCTGTCTAATATTGGCAAGTTTTGAGGAAAATATTTGTATAAAATGGGCAATTACATGTATCCTTAGAAAGACAAAGTGTTGGTGGGTTGTGACAAAGCTTCATTTTGCAGTCTGCCTGCACACCCATTTTTATCTCGGCTTTTTTTTTTTAATATTCTGTTTTTGCAAACTATCGTTGTGCTTATAGCCTATTTATACACTAGATATTTTCAGATTTTTTTTAACGTTAAATTACTTCTACACCTCTGAATTAGTGCCTCATATATACTAACTTCTGGGATCTTTCTGCCCCTCTCATCTCTCCCCTTATCCCAGAGCTCAGGATCGTGTTTGTTTACTCAACTCTCTGCTGCATTTCACCTTGTCCTCTGCTTAAAAAGGATCAGGAGGAAAAGTAAATGTAGTCAGCTATTTCAGATTCATATGATTGAGTAAAATAATCAACATTCTTCTGTGCCGCTCTGTTAAATACTTGGAAAATTGTATTTGTGCATGGGGGAGGAGTGGGTGGTAATGTGAAAATTTATTGTGAAATGACTATTGATTGAGTTTGGCTGTCATGGCCAAACATGCAAAACCACCAGAACTGTTTCAATAGGTGATCAGTCCTGGTGGCATTATGGGTGCTAAGTAAAGAGAATTTTGTTCCTGTATTAAACTTTTGGATCTCTGGTCATCTCAAGGAAGTTACGCCCACCTCTTCTTTTCCTACTGCTTCAGCTTCATTCAAAAGCAACTTCAGAGGTTAACCCTCAGTTACTCTTCTTTAGTACCAACTGCTTCTCAGTTGATCAATACGGGGCCAGATCTGTTTCCAGCAACATATTGGGATGAGACACTTCAGACCCAGATATAGGCCATTTGGGAGGGATGAGAGATATAAGACAGGGTCCTGAAAAATGGGCAGGAAAGAAAAATTACAAAGAAAGGAGAACTCAGAAGACGGCAACAAGAGGATACAGACGGAAGGAGCAAGAAATAAGGTAGGACTTGGAAACTGGGAGTGGGATTGAGGGAAAATGAAGCACCAAAGAGGAATGGAGAGCATTATTAAAATTAAGGAGCCATCAAAGAAAAAAAGGCAGTGTGGCAGAGAGAAGACTCTACACACTGCATAGGAAGGTCAGTGACTATACAGAAAGCCTGGGTGGGGGGCTTTAGATCACACTGCATGTTTAAACTAAAAATCTTAGCCCTCCTTCTAGCTCTGTAATGTTTAATGCTACCCAAGATGAATGTTGTATTTTGCTGTCTAATAAGGTGTGATCAGAGTGGGAGAAAGAAAAGCTGTCACACTATACTGTGACATGATAGCTAGAAATAATAGTAATAAAAGAGAAATTAACTGGGAAGGATGTGGGGAAATGTGAGTAGTGAATATCACTGATAAAGCATTAGATAGCATGATTATAAAGCAGTGTCCTATTAAGAAGCTATTTTTCATATTTGCAGTACCAATTAACTCTTCAGTCTTTCTTTCCCCTCTTTAATTATTAAAACCTGTTCTTTTAATAAGAAAATTGAGTTATTACAGCAGGAGTAATTTCTCTCCCCATATAGGAATGGCTCTTACATACCATATTAGTGACATGTTTTAAAGGATATTTCAGCTGGCTACAAAGGTCTCAGGGTTTTGTTTTGGTTTTGTTGGTTTTTTTTAACCTAGCATTTTTTTTTCTCTGAAGGACATAACTAATCTTTTGCATTCATATTTGCTGTTTTCCTTTAATAAAGATTTTAAGCTGTGCCCTTTCCATGGAATGCTTTAAGAAGTATATTTGCAAATCTTTATCTCAGCTTTGAGTTTCATAATCTTAAATGGGACATATATCAGAGTTCCCAATGTACTTTCATAGTAGTGTTTTTTCCAGTTGTCTTTATGGTCCATCACTCACAATTTCAATGCAAAAAAATCCCTGCACTTCTGAAATCTATTATGTTTGGGTTCTAATAGTGCATTATAAAGTGAGAAATACACAAACAGGCCTTCCTTTCTGCTTCCCCTATTACAGTCTTTTCAATATTTGCAATCCAATTAGCAAGTAGATATAGACTAGCTTTATTCCTTCATCTCAAGTTTAGAGATTAATAAGCTTCTGTTGTAAAGTAAAGGAAGACCCTAGGAGTAAAGAAGACCCTTTAATAACCTTTTGGATATTTTGATAACTGAAACTTGGTTCAAGGAAGCTTGATGTTGTCCTCCAAATCCTGGAGGAGGAAGGTGCTCACTCTGTTTACTTTTGTTTGATATATATGTTTACAAGGTATTCCAGCACTTCAGTGGAAACATCCCTATTGTACAATGTCCATCCATTCAGCTTTTATCTTCCGTACTGCACAATTTTTACTTTATAAAAATTCACTTACACTTTATCATCTTGTCAAATTTCTGTTATGCTGGCTAAGCACACTGTCTCATTTACTGTCACTTCTAATTAGTCCTAAATTTCAACAATCTTCATTTTCCTGCATATCTTTTTTCGTCCAAAATTTTCTAAATCTTCTGTTGCAGAACAGCTCTGGTCTTTGTATGCTGCAATACAGTAGACGAGCATGCAAGACATTTTATCGGTGTCTTGCAGTAGTTACTGTCTTTTTGCTTTAACGCATCCTGACCCAAATGTTTTCTGAAGTAGTTCCTAACATTGACTGGATGAAGGATTTATGTTAGTGGACGTAGTATTTGTTGTTGTTTCTCCTCTGTATCAGTCAAATAATTCTCTGGTTAATTTTCACTATTTTCATATGTTCACAGGTGTTGGTGTGTTAAACAATTTACTCTATGCAGTCGGTGGTCACGACGGTCCTTTGGTAAGAAAAAGTGTTGAAGTGTTTGATCCTGTCGCCACTACGTGGAAGCAGGTTGCAGACATGAACATGTGCAGAAGGAACGCAGGTATATGCAACAATTACTTTAAAATAGTGGTAATATCATTTGGTGTAAGTGCCGTGGTCCTGGATTTCTGCTGCTTTTGTGATGTCGCAGAAGAGAAACCATGCTTTTATGGGATGAACAAGCCAATTGCTAATTTTCATATTGGTTTTCTGTCTTTTTTTAGGTGTTTGTGCTGTAAATGGTCTCTTGTATGTAGTTGGAGGCGATGATGGTTCCTGTAATCTATCAACAGTGGAATATTATAATCCAACAACTGATAAATGGACAGTTGTGTCTTCTTGTATGAGTACAGGAAGAAGCTATGCAGGTAATGTATATAGATATTTTTAACAGACTTTTTACAGTATAACAGGTAGGATAACTGGACCACTCTCCATCATCTTTGCCAAGT